GAAGGGAGCAGAACCCAGGAGTCTGGTGGGGACACGCAGGGAGAAGCGGGGTCAGCCCTCGGCCCCCCCAATTTCAGGGCTAGAGGGCCTAGAAGTCAGGACTCCTGGGTTCTCTCCTCGGCTCTGGGAGGGGAGTGGGGGCTGGTGGGTTAGAGTGGGGGGGCTGGGAGCCCGGACTCCTGGGTTCTCTCCTGGTTTCTCACCATGGGGTTACAGGTGTCGTTGCCCGAGATCCCGGAGCACCTGGGGTCGCTGGAATTGCCACTGGTGACACGATACAAGGGAGTCCCGGACGTGGCCAGATAGCTGGGGGGAGCAGTCAAGGGGAGACAACAGGAGCACACGGGGCCTGTCCCCTCTAGGGGGCGCCGGCTCCCACCTGGCCCCAGGGCAGGGACTGGCTGGCTCAGGGGGCCAGGGACTGGCTGGCTCAGGGGCCTGTCCCCTGTGGGGGGGCGCCGGCCCCGATCTGGCCGGGAGGTGGGTGGGGCAGCAGGGGGGTGGCCGGGGGGCAGGGGGCACCCGGAGGATACAGAGCCGTCATGGCCCAATAGGCCACACAGATGAGGAGCAGGAGGAAAGTGACCAGTGGGTAGAACAGGGTGGACATCATGTAGCCGATGGCCCTGGAAGCGGAGACAAAAGGGGGACCCCATGTTAGTTCCTGTTTTGGGGACCCCCCCAGGGCTCCTGTCCTCCCCCCCATAGTCCCCCACTCCCCATAGAGACGTAGAGCTCACCGCCCCACCGGCTATCAGATCCATGGGCCCATCTAACCTGGCATCCCGTCTGCTGGAGATCAGGCATAGCTCGCCTGGCATCGTCCCCTCCCCCAGGTCAGACCCATGGGCCCATCCAGCCCTGTTTCCACCCCCCCAGGTCAGACCCGTGGGGCCCTCCTGCTTTTAACCCTTTCTCTCTCCCCCCAAATCATGTGTCGGGCAGTTCCACAGGTTAACGCATCCCCGATTCCACTCTCTTTCCTACCCCCTCATTAAAGGGACAGGAGCCAGGGCTGCTAAGGTGTCCCAGGGAAGATCAGACCCCCAGCACCTCCCCCTAAGGGGCTCCCATGCCCCCCCTGCCGCCCCCCAAGGGGCTGCCATGCCCCCCTGGGGTATGGGGGGGGACTCACCGGCTAGACTCCTGGATGAGCGCAATGGCGATGAGGATGCGTTTGCGGAGGAAGATGAGGAGGAGGAGGAGGACGCCTTCCACCACAGCCAGGATTATCACTGGGGGGACAGAGACATTGGGGGGGGGCACAGACAGGGCTGGGGGGCTGCTGGGAGAGAGACGGGTGCCCCCTACTTCAAGAGGAAACAGATTTGGGGCACCCCACTTATTAAGGACTCAATAAAGACCCCCGCGTTCCCACGGCGGGATTTACTGACTCCCTAAAACGAGGCAAACCCCCAAATTCCCCCAGTGGAAGGGAGGGGCCTGGACTGAGGCACCAAACTGGGGTGTCGACCAGCTCCCCCATTTCCACAGGGGGCCCCAGGCTCAGCCAACCCTGCAGTTTAAGGGGTCCAGAAAGCCCCCCAATTTAGGAAAGATTCCCAGATTTTGGGGGTGTCAGGGATGCTCCCCAAGGAGAAAGCGACAAACCCCCACATTTTAGGGGGATCTTTCTAAAGGGGTCCCACATTCAGGCAACCACATTCAGGAATCACTGAATTTCAGGATGCTGAAAGATGCCCCCCAAAGTCAAGACATCCCAGTGGTTTAGGAATTCAGTGACATGCCCCTAAATCAAGGGGGAGGATGAATTTGGGGGGCAGCAAGGAAGCTCCCCAGGAGTAAAGGTGCACCCCCAAATTTAGGGGTCAGCAGAGCAGCACCCCGTTTGGGGGAG